TTTTACTCGAGTTATCGTGTGCACAGACGGACGGACGGACAGACAGTCACCGCTTAATCGATTTCTCTTTTCATTCTGATCATTTATGTATACATTTGTCTATACCTATCTCGATTCGTTTTACCTGTTACAAACAACCGTTATGTGAACAAAGTTATAATACAAGGGTACAAGTGCGCTCGGGTATAAAAATTGGATTAATCTGATAAATTGCCCTGTGGTTGTGTGTAGCGGTGACAACACTAATAGAAACAATTGCATCGATCGGGCAACACAGAGCTCAGCAAAAATAATTAACCACATATCGTAGAAAATTATCGCTGGGCGGTCTGCGCCTGTCTCACGTTCAATATTTATTGTGATATTTGGATGGTGATCCATATTAATGGATTTCAAAATAGTGATGGATGGCGCGGGAATACTAAATACATGCTCAATATTTATCGCGTCAGTATTTACATGTTTTTGTGTTGAGAGGTTTAAAGTCCAATAGATGAAGCCTGGAAATCTTATCTAAATATAATGTTATTTTATTGAAAATCATCTATACTTTTCATTATATATATGGTGATACCACATCTAATTTGTTCCAAATGCAACGCGAGCGCACACGTTCAATACTTATTGACAGATCTTTGAGCCATATATAGCGGAAATTTAAAAAGGTGGTTTGAACTAGGGATGTTGCGAATGTGGAATTTTAGACGTCCGCGAATGCGAATGCAGATGAGGATGTCTAACAGCTAGCGGATGCGAACGCGGATGTCAAGTATTTTTAAGAATTTAAGTAAGTAAATTAAGTTATTTAGGTAAATAAAAAAATTTAAAAATGAGTAAATTTTAATAATGTTTATATTATTTAGTACTTGAATTTAAAAATTGGAACTTCATATTTAATAAAAAGTAATGAGAATTGCATCGGGGCTAAAAATTTCGGATGTATCCTCCTTTCATATTCACTTGAAGAATCTAGCATAATGGCGAGATCGTTATTTAAACACCGCTTACAAGCCAAACCAGATGTGCTAGGTTTTTTTGAAGCTTTTTAAAAAGAATTCTTCATTATCATTCCTTTGACTATTTCAGAATTTGGGGAACCTGTAATGTCATCAGCGTTTTTTTTGATTTTAGTTTTTGTAATTCATTTTTAATACATTCTTCTGCGACTGGTTTGAAAAATTTGTGTTTATAGCGAGCTTAATATGTATATATGTAGGTGAATAACGAAAATAATTTATTATTTTTCAGAAATAAAATTTTTGAACAAAATTCTGTTTTCAAAGTCGTGGCTGCTAGCCGAATCGGACCAGAATATTGTTATTTTTTATAAGCATTTGAATTATTGGAATCACGGATGATGAGGGTCTGAGATAGTTACGTAATTCATACCTAATTAAAGGTCATACCTATAGCTTTTAATTATTTGAGCATCGATTCTCATTTCTCCTGGAAATCCCTATTGAAGGAGCTTACTCTTTGACTTTAAATAGCAAAGAAGGAAGACATAGTGGGAGAGTTTTACCACAGAATTTTTTAGCCAAGGATCCAGTGTATATCCCTATGAAAAAGATATTGTCCGACAAGTAAACAAAAAAACTGTGAAATGTTTGCTACAAATAAATTCCCCAAAGAGCCCCATTTGAAACGGTGGAAACGAATATATGAAACATCAAAAGAAAATCACGAAAATTTTATTTAAAATAACAGTTCACACTTTCCTCTTTAATGTCTAGTAGCTTTATTAAGATTGGTCCAAACAAATCATAATAAAGAAAGAAACCAACGCATATATTTAAAGCACAGAAAAAAAAATAATATTATTAAAAGGACTATGTTCTCTTTGACGTACGTCAAAGGTCAACTAGAAGTCGGAACATGTATCGGCCCAATGATAGCTCGGTTATATAGCTTAAGAAATAATATGTGTAAAAACACTTTTATCAAAGTTGATAAATATGACATTGGACCAGTTTTGTTACACAAATACTCCAATGTGCGGCGCCCGGGTAACACGACCAAAAATATTGGCTTTAATTAAACCCTTTGAACAGCAGTTTGTGCGGTGTATTTGGGTTCTTTAGCGTTTCAGTATATGCACTTAAGTCGATTTTTTTTCAAAAGACAAGACCTTAACGCGCGTTTTTATGAAAAGTATATTTTTAAACGCGTGCGTTGCAAAAATATTTATGTTTTGCTCTTTCTTTCACAAATTCTTTTTATATCCTTTTTATACACGTACGTATTCACAGGTTGAATAACAAGTAATTTTTAGCAAAAAAAAACCGAATTCAACTCCCATAAAAAAAAATATATATATATATATATCTCATGATCCACTGATCGGATCTCAACCAGATTAGTATGGGACCACCTCTGAGACACTACCTTTCCGATGCAAAAAGACTTATCGAAATCGGTTAACGTGGTCCAAAGTTATGCGGTAACATACATAAAAAAAAGAAAAAAAAATATGCCGACGAACTGATAACCTCCTCCTTTTTTGGATTTCGGTTAAAAATGTATTTATATACATATGTATCTAAATGTATCTATTATATGAGGCCTTGAGCGCCAGAGTAGCTTAACTGACATTTCAAAAAAAGTTAGCTGCACCTTAATATGCATTACCAGAATCGAAACGGCAATAGCCCGAGGCACACCCTTTTAGTTTTTTTGTATTATAATATGTAGCATCACGTAAGCGCAATGAATTTTTTAGTAAAGTACCGCATTTATTTTTTATAGATCCCTCTTTCTCATACTACTAAAAAGTTTTTCGCCCTCGTGGCCTCATATGTAAAATGTGCTCAGCTGAGGGAATATAGCAATTTCATCATCGAATCAATTTAATACATCATAAAATTAGATTTAAGGAAAAATTAAAATCTTTTAGTCGTTTTTCTCATTTTGTTGGTCACAAAATTGTACGTCGGTGAACCATACATATTCGAGTTTAATAGATTTTTGATACATTTTTTCTTTTAGAAATTTCGCTATTATAAATCATCATTGAGATTTAATCAAATAATTTTCTTTTGAATTCATAATCACTGTAAATCAATATCGTCCTCAGTCTTCACACGGCATGATTTAATTGATTTTTATTGGAGCTCGTTTTCAATCAAAAATTTTTGTTGATATTTTGATTATTTAATTCCGGGAGGGTGAATGGTGATCGATCTGCGATGCGAACACCATTGATCAGCAGTCATAACCAGTGTTGCCGCGCCGTCTCAAGAAAATGTATCACTGACCAAGCCAAAAATGTATCCAATTGTATCCAATTTTCTTTGTTTACGTACACATCTCATAATTTGTATATATTATAAAGTACATTTTTTGTGCATAAGTATTTTGCAAAGTAGTATAATAAATAGCAAGTACACTCTAAAAAAGCATGTAAAACTACTACTGAAAAGTATATATTTTTCAACAAGAATCAGTATAAATATACGTATAAGATGTTCAGCATTTGATTTTGAACTTGAGGTCTTTAAAATATACTCATAAATACACATATATAGAATGCTTAAAATTGCAAAAATTTTCAAATTAAAATACATTTCCTACTAATAATAAACATTACTATACTTTAAACATTTTATGTGTAATTTTGATCTTTGCGGCAAATTTGGTATGTAAAAGTAAACAGGCAATATTTAATTTTATTACACGGCGTGCAAATTTGTACACATTATAAGAGGAAACTGGTTACCTCTCTTAATATGCGCAAACAAACAAAATTTTTTTAGAGTGTATTTAAAGTCTTTTTAGTAAAATTCATACAAATTTCCTTAAATAAATAAAATTTAGTTTTTTAAGTGTATTTTAACCTTCATTGAAATCTTCTTTCTTTTTAAATTAACAAATGAAAATATGTGATATGAAAGAGATTACTACAGAAAAAGTATAATTTATTATATATATATGTATATTAAGATCTTGCTTACAGCATCCTTTTAAGCTGATTAAAACAATTGCGCTTATTACCTATTTTGGTGAGATCTCTTCATATGTTCATTGCTTCGTTCACAAAAATTAAAATGCTTTAATTTCATGCTTAAGTAGCGATTTTTAAACATTTAAAAAACGTAATGCTTTCTACCATCTTTAATGAAAATCGGTTTTTGAACAAAAAAAAACTTTATAGAATATCTATATAAAATTTTGGCCTATTTTAAAAAGTATCCATATTTATACTGATCGAAAAAAATAAGTATCCCGCAAAAATTCGTCTAAAAATGTATCCAATTGTATCTATTTAGATCCGAACGGCATCCCTGGTCATAACCATTCTCGTTCAGTTCAGTTCGCCAATTCTGAAAAGCAAGTTAATTGCATTTTTTTAATCAAGTAACACCACACATCGACGGTCAAGATTTTTGAACCGATCATTTTTCTTTTCGTCTTTCGGTATAAGTTCAAGCAACGTAACCGATAACACGGTCAATATTAATTGAACCAAACTATTAATTTTTCTTTTTTTTGTAATTTCTTTCTGTATTCATTCCCACAGTGGCGTAGCCAGGGGTGGGGAGGGGTGGGTTATGGGCGGATAGATCCCCCCCTTCGTCATTGAACTACAATTATTTACTTTTGAATTAATAACACAATACTATTTTATCCTTCTGATTTAAATCTTTTTTTATTTCAGACGGATGACAAATTGTCTTTTAATGAATATATGAGTAGTCCACTTGCAAACAGCGTTATGTGATTTTATAAAAGTAAACCACAAATTAAAAAAAAAAACGTCTACGACAACAAGTAACAACCGAACTGTATCTTTTTTTATTACCTGAAAATTTGGATAAATAAGAGCCTAATACCATTAAAAAAATAAAATTGCAGTATGGTAGATTTGCAAATTTTATATTTAAAAAATTAATATTGCAAGTTTTGAAACAGTAACTCTTACATAGCTAGCTTTTTTTAGCTTTTCGCGTTCTCTCCTCTAGGAAGATTGGTTTGCTTCTTTTTTGCGACCTCTTCCACTAGGCACCGAAACTACCACGTTTTCTTGCAGTTTTCTAAGTTCATACGAAGAGGAGACATTTGAAAGTGTATAAATAAGTATTATAGCGACTTTTGCAAGAGTAGTTAACATTTCATGCTATTTTTTTCAGAATATAGAAAAATTTTTCACTCTGCTGTTAGTGGACATGAAACCCACCAAAAACTAAAAATCTAAAAAAAATTTACATAGCGCACTTTGCAAGTGGACTACTCAATTGTTGAATATGCTATCTTATTTGTCCCTTCTTTTTATACAGTTAAGGAGCGGCTGAATAGTTTAACGATGTTAGCGGTACATAATGTTGTGCCGATTACAACACAAGAAGTAATTGAAAAAATGTGTGTTAAGCAACGAAGATTAAAAATCGCTTTATAAGTAATAAGATTTTGTAGACTTGTACATAAATAAATGTAAATAGATACGCGTAAATATATAAATATGCAGATATATTCAATGTGTAAAAACTGAAGTGTATACTAACGAAACTTCTACAAAACAAAACTGGACTACACACTAATTAATTAAAATGGTGTAGTAATTTAATTTTTTAAATTTTAATAAAGCATGAATTCCCCATGGAATAACCGAGTAGACAAAAAATATATAACGGTAGAAATGGCACATACATACATATATGAAAGAATGTCCACAGGCGACGCACTATAGGCAAAACTCGAGTTTTTTTTTCAAAATCGTAGATCTTCGCTTAGAAAAGAGATAATGGAATGCAGCATTTAACCCCTTAATGAACAGTCTGTCATATATGAAACGCTTTTTAACCCTTTCAAGGCAGAGGAAAAAGGTTCTCAATATGCTTTTGAACATAGTAAAATATTAATAAAAAAAAAAAAAAAAAATAAACAAATAAAAATATTTAAAATAAAATTAAAAATAAATAAAAAATAAAAACAAATAAAAACTACGTTGAAACCATATTGAGAACCATTTTGCCTCTGCCTTGAAAGGGTTAAAAAGCGTTTCATATATGACAGACTCTGCATTAAAGGGTTAAATGCTGCACGTTCGTAAAGATATCGACAAGTATAACCATTTTTGTTATAGATTGTTTATTTATATTTGGCCGTTAATTGAAAATTCTGTTGATATTTTTTTGAGCTCAAGGCCGGGTTGAAATAAAACAATCTGTTTTTGTTGTTTTTAAATCGTCTATATTTCGACTTCAGTCTGAAGTCATCATCAGGACTGCAATAAATATCTTAATTACAAAAATTGCATAAAAGACTATCAACATACTGTATATAAGCACAACTTACACATTCGGCTGCGCCTGTTAGACTAATGTGTGCAAAAATCAAAAGATTTAACAAACCAAACAATGAGACGAAATGGACATAAAAATATAAACAAATGAAAGAACAGTAATTGTAAACAAAAAATCATACAAACAACATTGCATTGGACGGCACACAGTACGACATAAATATATATGCAAATCATCCAGCATTGCAATGTTATCATAGACGAAGTTCGGACACGGAACGAATAATAGACAATATTAGGCTTATTTGTTGTGCCTTAATATTATGTTGCGGTAGACATGTGCACAGGTTTGAAATTCATCCTTTTATCATTAGGGGTGTTTACAACGTGGAGCATTTCTAAAATAAAGCGTTTGTGGTAATTTTTCTCTTCTTCTAAGACACTCACATTATCAAAATCAGGGTAATGTCCCGTGTCTTTACAGTGAGATGACAAGGCCGTCTTGTTGCCCGAGTAAGTGTTCCTTAATTTTACGTTCGATTTGTGAGCGGAAATCCTTGTCTTAAGTTTTGGTTTGGTTGTCCCCACATATACTTGTTTGCATACGTGGGACCCGTCGCCATTACATGGAATACTGTATACTACATCAGATTTCTCATGCTTGGGAATTTTGTCTTTCGTTTTGCTAAATATACTTCTCAGAGTATTGTCGTATGTAAACACTAATTGGACGTTCTCTTTATCATATAGATTGGAAAATTTGATTCTCTCTGATAACCCTGGGACATAAGTTGCTGTTTTGTAAATTTTCTTATTTGAATCATCATTTTTCTTTTCTTCGTTCGGACGAACATAGTAGTTGTGAATTAGCTTTTTAATTAATTTCCCCGGAAAATCATTGTCCTCCAGAGTTTTTTTAATAATGCAAATATTTTTGTTGTGATATATTGTCGCTGATAGAGAGAACTCGTCTCACGAAATTGTTGGCAGTGTTTACAATTATTCTTCTTTCCTGCTTAGAATTGAAATTTACAAGTCTGCCCGAAGCCGTCGGTTTTTTGTACCAGTCTATAGTAATTTCGTTGTTTCTCCTTATCACTAGGGTGTCCAGAAAAGGTAGTTTTCCTTCTTTTTCTACTTCTATTGTGAATTTTATTGATTTGCTGAGACCGTTTAATATTGTAAGCATGTCGTTTGTGTCCTCGGTTTTAACTATAGCGAATAAATCGTCAACGTACTTAGTAAGAAGTCGTGGTTTATTGACCGACTCCTGTTCGAATTTTTTGAGTAACTCTTCCATAATGATGTCCGCTATAACTGGTGATGATGGAGATCCCATGGGCATACCTGAGCGCTGCTCATATATTTTATTATTATATTTAAAATGGCGGGTTTGTTTTATGCAGAATTTTACCACAGTCAAAAAAAGTTCTTTAGACATATATGTGTACTCTTTTATATCTTCCCACTTTGAAGCTATGATTTCAAGGGCCAAATCCACTGGAATACTCGGAAACAATGACACAACATCGAACGACACTAGACTCTCATCATCATAAACATATGTATCCTTGATCTTGTTCTTGAATTCGATCGCGTCTTTGACATTATATACGGAGGACATGGTTACATTTTTCAGGATTTTGACGTCATATTTACATAAATTGTTAGACGGGGAATTGACGGACGAACAAATAGGTCTGAGTGGATTTCCTTCTTTGTGAATCTTTGGTAAGCCATAGATTCGTGGTGGATTGGCTGTTTTACACAAAAGCGCATTCTTTTCTTTTACATCAATAATTTTATTACTGAACATTTTCTCAACTAGTTCGTTGTTCTTGTCCTGTAGTCTATTAGTAGGATCACGTTTTAAAACTTTGTATGTGGAAATATCGTTGACTATAGTCTGCATTTTTATGTCATATTCTGATTTATCCATCAACACAGTTACATTGCCCTTTTCGGCATTAAGGATCAAAAGCTCTTTATGATTTTTTAAGAACAGTTTTGCGGAACGTAGGGTATCACTTATAAATTTATCTCTAACTGAAGTTGTCTTCTTGTTGAGGTGGTCACGTGGCAGTGTCGTCAAGTTGTTTCTTTCCATCTCTTGTTTCTCTTTGTCTTTAATTGTTTGTATATAGTTCTCCCCGTCTGCAATTTCTTTAAATAGTGGAAATTCTTTGTTGTCTATGGGTAAGGCATGTTTAGGACCCAGAGAAAGAAGCCACTGAATATCGGTTGGAATTTGTATGCTAGTCGTGTTACGGATCCATTCTGGTATCACCCTAATATTTAAAAGTAGTTGTTGTTTATGTCTTAAGTTTTCGTACTTAGCAAGTTGGGTAGTTTTGATACTTTCTTTCAATGTGTTCGTCAGCAGTTCCTCACTTTGGAAGAATGCAATGCAGTCACGTGTGTTGAGGTGTTGCTTTATTCTTGTTTTTAACATATTTACCTCTCTTTCTTTTTGCCGCAGAAGTTCGTGTTTAATTTTAATGAGGAGATTTAAAAGTTTGCCTTTCGTCTTGTCGATATAAGCAGACACAGCGTAAGAAATTTTCGCCGATATTTGGTTGTTGTTGATGCACTTTCTGGCTTTGATGTTATATCCTCTTTTAATGTTCCTGTAGACCATGACCGTGTCTTTCGTCGTCTTGGGGTGCTCTCCGTTTAAACATTGTTTATTTATCTTTGGCCGTTAATTGAAAATTCTGTTGATATTTTTTGAGCTCAAGGCCGGGTTGAAATAAAACCATCTGTTTTTGTTGTTTTTAAATCGCGTATATTTCGACTTCAGTCTGAAGTCATCATCAGGACTGCAATAAATATCTTAATTACAAAAATTGCATAAAAGACTATCAACATACTGTATATAAGCACAACTTACACATTCGGCTGCTCCTGGTAGACTAATGTGTGCAAAAATCAAAAGATTTAACAAACCAAACAATGAGACGAAATGGACATAAAAATATTAACAAATGAAAGAACAGTAATTGTAAACAAAAAATCATACAAACAACATTGCATTGGACGGCACACAGTACGACATATATATATATGCAAATCATCCAGCATTGCAATGTTATCATAGACGAAGTTCGGACACGGAACGAATAATAGACAATATTAGGCTTATTTGTTGTGCCTTAATATTATGTTGCGGTAGACATGTGCACAGTTTTGAAATTCATCCTTTTATCATTAGGGGTGTTTACAATGTGGAGCATTTCTAATATAAAGCGTTTGTGGTAATTTTTCTCTTCTTCTAAGACACTCACATTATCAAAATCAGGGTAATGTCCTGTGTCTTTACAGTGGGATGACAAGGCCGTCTTGTTGCCCGAGTAAGTGTTCCTTAATTTTACGTTCGATTTGTGAGCGGAAATCCTTGTCTTAAGTTTTGGTTTGGTTGTCCCCACATATACTTGTTTGCATACGTGGGACCCGTCGCCATTACATGGAATACTGTATACTACATCAGATTTCTCATGCTTGGGAATTTTGTCTTTCGTGTTGCTACATATACTTCTCAGAGTATTGTCGTATGTAAACACTAATTGGACGTTCTCTTTATCATATAGATTGGAAAATTTGATTCTCTCTGATAACCCTGGGACATAAGATGCTGTTTTGTAAATTTTCTTATTTGAATCATCATTTTTCTTTTCTTCGTTCGGACGGACATAGTAGTTGTGAATTAGCTTTTTAATTAATTTCCCCGGAAAATCATTGTCCTCCAGAGTTTTTTTAATAATGCAAATATTTTTGTTGTGATATATTCTGTCGCTGATAGAGAGAACTCGTCTCACGTTGGCAGTGTTTACAATTATTATTCTTTCCTGCTTAGAATTGAAATTTACAAGTCTTTCCGAAGCCGTCGGTTTTTTGTACCAGTCTATAGTAATTTCGTTGTTTCTCCTTATCACTAGGGTGTCCAGAAAAGGTAGTTTTCCTTCTTTTTCTACTTCTATTGTGAATTTTATTGATTTGCTGAGACCGTTTAATATTGTAAGCATGTCGTTTGTGTCCTCGGTTTTAACTATAGCGAATAAATCGTCAACGTACTTAGTAAGAAGTCGTGGCTTATTGACCGATTCTTGTTCGAATTTTTTGAGTAACTCTTCCATAATGATGTCCGCTATAACTGGTGATGATGGAGATCCCATGGGCATACCTGAACGCTGCTCATATATTTTATTATTATATTTAAAATAGCGGTTTTCTTTTATGCAGAATTTTGCCACAGTCAAAAAAAGTTCTTTAGACATATATGTGTACTCTTTTATAACTTCCCACTTTCAAGCTATGATTTCAAGGGCCAAATCCACTGGAATACTCGGAAACAATGACACAACATCGAACGACACTAGACTCTCATCATCATATACATATGTATCCTTGATCTTGTTCTTGAATTCGATCGCGTCTTTGACATTATATACGGAGGACATGGTTACATTTTTCAGGATTTTGACGACATATTTACATAAATTGTAAGACGGGGAATTGACGGACGAACAAATAGGTCTGAGTGGATTTCCTTCTTTGTGAATCTTTGGTAAGCCATAGATTCGTAGTGGATTGGCTGTTTTACACAAAAGCGCATTCTTTTCTTTTACATCAATAATTTTATTACTGAACATTTTCTCAACTAGTTCGTTGTTCTTGTCCTGTAGTCTATTAGTAGGATCACGTTTTAAAACTTTGTATGTGGAAATATCGTTGACTATAGTCTGCATTTTTATGTCATATTCTGATTTATCCATCAACACAGTTACATTGCCCTTGTCGGTATTAAGGATCAAAAGCTCTTTATGATTTTTTAAGAACATTTTTGCGGAACGTAGGGTATCACTTATAAATTTATCTCTAACTGAAGTTGTCTTGTTGAGGTGGTCACGTGGCAGTGTCGTCAAGTTGTTTCTTTCCATTTCTTGTTTCTCTTTGTCTTTAATTGTTTGTATATAGCTCTCCCCGTCTGCGATGACTTTAAATAGTGGAAAGTGTTTGTTGTCTATGGGTAAGGCATGTTTAGGACCCAGAAAAAGAAGCCACTGAATATCGGTTGGAATTTGTATCCCAGTCGTGTAACGGATCCATTCTGGTATCACCCTAATGTTTAAAAGTAGTTGTTGTTTATGTCTTAAGTTTTCGTACTTAGCAAGCCGTGTAGTTTTGATACTTTCTTTCAATGTGTTCGTCAGCAGTTCCTCACTTTATATTGAATATGACATAAAAATGCAGACTATAGTCAATGATCCACAAACAAAGTTTTAAAACGTGATCCTACTAATAGACTACAGGACAAGAACAACGAACTAGTTGAGAAAATGTTCAGTAATAAAATTATTGATGTAAAAGAAAAGAATGCGCTTTTGTGTAAAACAGCCAATCCACCACGAATCTATGGCTTACCAAAGATTCACAAAGAAGGAAATCCACTCAGACCTATTTGTTCGTCCGTCAATTCCCCGTCTTACAATTTATGTAAGTATGTCGTAAAAATCCTGAAAAATGTAACCATGTCCTCCGTATATAATGTCAAAGACGCGATCGAATTCAAGAACAAGATCAAGGATACATATGTATATGATGATGAGAGTCTAGTGTCGTTCGATGTTGTGTCATTGTTTCCAAGTATTCCAGTGGATTTGGCCCTTGAAATCATAGCTTGAAAGTGGGAAGATATAAAAGAGTACACATATATGTCTAAAGAACCTTTTTTGACTGTGGTAAAATTCTGCATATAAGAAAACCGCTATTTTAAATATAATAATAAAATATATGAGCAGCGTTCAGGTATGCCCATGGGATCTCCATCATCACCAGTTATAGCGGACATCATTA